TTTTATTTTATTTTATTTTATTTTATTTTATTTTATTTTATTTTATTTTATTTTATTTTATTTATTTATTCTTTTTATATTATTGTAATAACACATAGTTTTTTTATCGGTACTCTTTGGAAATTTTATAATGTTTTCCCAAATTAATGTAAAAAATTAATGATTTTTTAATGTTTGGCAACTCTGTGCACACGCTAGCTACACGTATAACCGGTCAAACAAAAAACATCCGTAAAAACAGTAAATAGAATTAATCCGTAAAACAAAACAAAAATCTGAAAATGTGCATATTTAACTGAAACGAAAATATTGAATAAAGACAAAGAAAGGAAATTAAAAAAAATGCCCTCGGCGCCGGTAATGTTCCTTGGAGTCTTTATACTCCTCTTCGGCGGCCCAATTTTTGTCTTCATATATAATTTGCGTATAGTGCAATGGCTTGAGCCCCCAGAGGTACGGCCAGTCAATGGTGTAGGCATTCGCCGCTTACCGGCGCCACGGCGTAGGGTGAGGAGGGAGAGTGAAGATGAGGAGCTTGGAAATGAACGTGAAAATGAACATGCACACGATGACTGATTTGCTCAGCATTAAAAAACAAATATTTTTGACAAAAAAAACTGATTTTTTATTATTTGTATTTTCTTATTTAAATTTATTTAGATTATGAAAAAAATTTATTTAATAAAAAAATAATGTTGTTTACGGCAACATTAAACCACAGATACACTTTTTTTTGTATTTTCTAAATTTCTTTGAATGTGCTCTCTCTAGAAGACCACATTGATCGAAAGGCAGCATGATCTATTATGGTTTCAAGACAGAAAGAGAGCTCACGCTGATTCTCTGCAACTCTCTAATCTGATCAAAGATTCCGAAGAGTCAAAAGTCTAACTGATGTTAGTTGTTTTTTTCGGAAGACTTGTTGATGCTAGCGATAGAGTCTTATGTTGGACATATTTCATTTAAGCCGCAAATAGGTTATATTGTGCTTCCAATATCCGATATTGTGGCCGGTCCGACTTTGGTGGCGAGTCCCTTCCGGCGAAGAAAAAGAAAGTAGATCTTATTTCTAATTTCCTTACACAGTGGGTATTTTGCAAAGAACGCTTACTGAGCCAGCTAGTGCGAGCATTGAAGATTCCGTCATCGGAACCACAGCGTTTGAACTGCTGCTATTCTACTATTGAAGAAATCCCTATTAGAGGTGTGAAGATTTATTATTTAGGAGTGTTCTACAAGGGAACCTGTCATTTCTCTTCTCTGTTGAAGGCACCAGGTGAGCCAAGGTTTTCCCCCCTCAACCTCGTTTTCATTTGCTTGGAACAGCGGGTACTGGGTCGATTATTTTCTAAGATTTCATTCGCACTGCATGGCCGGGGTAAACCTATCTCTTAGTACGCTGAGCTTGTGAATGTCGCCGTTTATTTCACACGGCTCCTCCTTCCATTGGCTACAGTAGAGGATCATAAATCGTTTTCAAAAGCTATCTTTCGAAATAATCTAGCGTCAACTTGTGGAGAATAGGTTTTGTCTGTGGAAATAGGAGTTTGCCTTTCGATTTATTTTCAGAAAGTGAGTGATAATGTAGACACGTGGCAACTCTGTTGCCAATTAACAGTATATAAATAGAATAAGAATGTAGAGTGAAAGTGCTGAAAGGACCGCAAAAGGTAACAAACTTTTGAAGGTGTGATTAGTGTTTCTTAAAACAAAGACTAAAAATTAAGAAAAAATCCAAATGCTGGTTATTCTATTTTCAATCTTATTCGTTATTCTGTTAGTAATTGCACTGAATATTATGCGATTTTACTGGTACCAGCGCAGAGCAAACCAACTTGTGCGACTGCGAATGCGAGAAGTTCGCAGAGACGACGTAGATGAGGAACATGGCATGAATGTGATCGCAGGTCCTGCAGTCCTGGCCTTGTATACTCTGGAAGACGATGACAGCTTTAGTAGGGGTAGTTACAGCAGCCTAAGAAGTCCACGAAGTGAGGAGCGTGGCTATGAAGATGGCGATGAGGACTCACCAGTGCGCTTAAGCACACCACCCCGATTGCGGCTTTATGAGGTGCGACAGTTGCAGCCATGGGAGGGCTCGCCTGACTTTTGTGACTCTTATTTATGAGTAGCTAAAAAAACAAATTACGTCTTGACTTTGTTGCCTTAAAATTTTTGTTTCAAAATTCAAAAAAAAAAACCAAAAAAAATAATAACAATAATTATTTATATTAAATTTGTTCGTCACAACGAAACAAAATCAAATGTAATAAAAAAATTGTATTAAAGATTTTATTTTGTTTCTAGTACTTATTGTTTCCAAATTTTTGTGTGTAAATAAAAAATTAAACATTAATAGTAAACATAAAAAAAATTTCCTTAAATTTAGTGCCAATTTTTTTTAATTGCAAACGTTTCACAAATCATTTTATTTAAATTTTATATTTCTTTATTTTATTTATAATATTTAATTAATTTAATTAAATTTAGTTTTGTTAGTTTTATTTTTTTATTTGATTTATTTTATTCTGCTGTGTTTTACTCCATTTTATTTTATTTTATTTTATTTTATTTTATTTTATTTTATATTATTTTATTTTATTTTATTTTATTTTATTTTATTTTATTTTATTTTATTTTATATATTATTTTATTTTATTTTATTTCATCCTTAATTATTTTTTTTTATTCAATTCTAATTTAATTTATTTCAAATTATTTTATTTTATTCTTTATTATTTTATTTAATTCTATATTATTTGTTGTAATTTGTGATATCTTATTTTACTTTATTAAATTAATTTAATTTTGTTTGTTTTATTTTATTTTACTTTTTTCTTGTTTATTTTATATCATTTGTTTTTGTTTTATTTCACTTTATTTTATTTGTCTTATTTTGTTTTACTTCTTAATTTTATTTTAATTCTATTTAATTTAATTTAATATTAATTATATTTTATATGTTTTATTTTTAATTTTATTTCTATTTTTTTTATTTAACTTAGTTTATTTTTATTTTATTAAGTTTAATTTGATTTTTTTTAATATAATTAAATTTTATTTGCTTATTTTATTCTACATTTTTTTTACTTAAGTGAATTTTATATTGTTTTAAAATTTTGGTACGCCATCTTATTTTCCAATATATTTTTATGTTTAATTATTTTGTTTTACTTTCCTTTTTGTACACATGTTTTTATAAAATTGAGTTTTATTTAATTTTGTTTTTGGTTTCAAGTTTTTTTATGTGAATATTTTTATTGAATTCATTATCCATTTTTTTGTTTTTTGAGATAAAAAACAATTAGGTGGCAACCCAATGACACTCAGCAAATGCATGTATAATAAGAAGCGGCAAGTGGAATCCATAGTAAAGCAAGTTTTCAAAAGAAAAAATTAGAGATTAACAAAAAAAAATCAACAAAATTCACAATGTTCGAATATGTTTTATTTGCTCTCTTGCCCATATTACTTGCATACTTCGTCAGGTACATGGGCTATTGGACCATGGATGGTAACTCAATTGCGGATAATAATTCCAACAGCGGGTCGGAGTCCGATCTGGAACTTGAAGAGGCGGAATTGCTTATATATCGACGATTGTTGAATCACCGACGTCATGGCGGATAACTCCGGTCGGGGAATGCTAGTTGAAGTTTCACAGACAAAAACAAAATTACTTGCTTGAGTACGAGTCTTCACAAAATATGTATCAGGACTGTTGCGAGTTGGCTGAAAATAAATTAAAAAAAAAAAATTAAAAAAAAAACATTAAAATGCATATATTTTTGGGGGAAAATTAAATCAATTATGCTTTTGCTATTCATATATATTTTAAATAACTTGCATTTAATTTGAAATTTATTATTGTTGTTATTATTTTTTTTGCGTTCAGCGATGGCTTATCTGCAAATGAAAATTGTAAGTGTACTTTGGGAAGAAGTGAAAAATATTTGTTTTAAAACTCAGGCTGATAGCCCTAGCTGTTAGTTGCCTTTTATGTACTGTAATTATTAATAATTATTTTTGATTCAAATAAAAAATAAAAAAATAAGTTTTAAAATTAATTGAAAACATTTTAAATTAAAAAAATGCACAGTTATTAACTAATTAAGCAGTAATATCTAATACTTATATATATGTGTATCTTCATCTTTTTATTCGTATATATAAATATGGATATGTGCTTATTGGTTGGAAAATAAAAAAATACAATTTATGTTTGTTTTACTAATTCTTCGAAATTATTGCATTGACAAATCGTTAAAAAAATATTATGAAAAAAATTATGTTCTCGAAATGTTTTTAAATATTTTTTTTTTTTAATTTTTATTATTAACGCTTTTAATTTAATCAAGTTGAAGTTTGTAACATTTAATATATTTCTTGTGAAGTTTTTATTAGTAGTATTATTTATTCAAAAAAAAAAAAAAAAAAAAAAAAAAAAAAAAAAAAAAAGATGTAAGTGAAATGATTTTATATATATTTTTATTTTTAAATATGTAATTTTATAATTTTTTTTTTAAATTTTTCAATGTTTTTTTTTTGGTAATTTAAAATATATTGCGTTCAAAAAAAATTTTCAAAAAAAAAATGTTTTATTTTTCCTAGCATAAAAATCTTATTGGATCCCACAACATGAACTATCATGAATTATTTGCAAATTAGATCTGCTTGCCATGGCCGCTTTCTTGATGGATACTCTATTAAACGCTGGGATAACCGCAGCCAACTTCACGCATTGCAACTATCAACTCTAGCGTTACGCAGAAAAAAGAAAAAAATCTTTAAAAAAAACCCTCAGGCGATCTTGCAGAAGCTCAAAGATGCTTGAGGAACAAATAGTTCGCTTTGGTGATAATTCGACACTTGTCAGGGAAAGCCAGATAAAGGAAACCACCACAATAATTTTGGCAGCATTTGGGGCAGTACTATTTATGATGTTATTCCTTTGTATTCTTAAATATGTCATTGATTATTTAATAAAAAGGGGAGAAACAGAAAGGCGGCGAGTGCATGGCAGCCCGTTTACGACAAGGAAAAATATACCAGAGACGATATATTATCATATAGATGAGGAAACTTATAACCGTAGAGTAAAGGAGTTAGAAAAGCGACGTAAAAAGAAAAAGAGGAGAGTAGCAAAAGCAAAGCGATATCGCAGTCTACCAACAACACTTGGCAGGCGATCACAGAGTGATGAGCACCGGACACACCAGAACCCAGAACGTAGCGACAGGAGATTGGAGAGTGAAGAAATGGCAAGGATACGCCTGAGTCTAAATCTATCAGAACCCAGCGGCAGGATAATGGAGAGTGAAGAAAGGGCAAGGACACGCCTGAGTCTAAATCTATCAGAACCAAGCGGCAAGCGTTTGCGGTTTGATGAAAGGACAAAGACTCACGATTGTCTACATCTACCCTTAGAAAGCGGCGCGAGATTGCGGAGTGCGCAAAGGTCCCAAGCACAACAGAGTCTAGAGTTGACGGAATCAGAAGGCAGCAGATTAAGAGGCGTGCAAGAAGAGAGATACAGAAACCTTCGAGGATCGCCTTATTCGAAACGTGTTTCAGTCGTTGAGAAAAATGAAAGGGAGACGAACTTATAAGAAAAAAAAAATTGTTAACTATGATGTGCCAAGTAGATTTAGAGGGAAAATGTATGAAGTCGAATAATTTGTTGTGATTTATGTGTATGTGTGTGAAAAGCTTGTAAAAAATTGTTTGTTTTATAAAGAATTTTAAGTTTGAAATATTTAAAGTCGCAAATGGTTAAAGAAAAAATTTAAAATCCCTTAAGAAAATTTAGTTTTAATTTATTTTTATTTAATTAAATATCTTTACTCATTATTTAAATATTATGTTAATTTTTGCTTCTGTTCTATATATGTATGTAGTAAAAAAAATAAATTGTATGTGTTTCTACATCTAAAATTTGTTTATAACTTGTTATTTGATTTTTTATTTAATATCTTTTCAATTTTACTATATTTTGTTTTACTTTTTAAATTTTTTTTCAATTTTTACTCCCATTTAATTGACTAAATTTCATTTAGTTTTTTTATTTTATTTTATAATAAGTTATTTTATTCTTTTTTAATTTTTTTTTCTCTTTTATTTTATTTGATTTTATTTTACTTAATTTTATTTTATTTTATTTTATTTTTTTATTTTATTTTATTTTATTTTATTTTATTTTATTTTATTTTATTTTATTTTATTTTATTTTATTTTTTTATTTTATTTTTTTATTTTATTTTATTTTATTTTATTTTATTTTATTTTATTTTATTTTATTTTATTTTATTTTATTTTATTTTATTTTATTTTTATTTACTTTTATTTATTTTCATTTTTTTACTTATTTTATAAAATTAAATTTTATTTTAGTTTCTTTTATTTCTTTTCATTTTTTTACTTATTTTATAAAATTAAATTTTATTTTAGTTTTTTTATTCTATCTTATCATATTCTATTCAAATCTTTTTTATCTTATTTCATTATATTTTTATTGTATAATATTATATTAATATCAATTAAAATTTAAATTTTTTTGTATACTATTTTGTTTAATTGGTTTAATTTGATCGAAAATTGTTCATCGCTAGTTATAAGTCTGAGCTCCATGGAATGTCTATCTAATCTCAGCATACGGAGTCATCTAGACAATAATTTCTCCGAAAGTAAGTTGCGCTCTGACAAAAATTTTCTTCAGCTCAGATTCGCCCGAAAAGTTAGGCTCTGAGGCGAAATTTCATTATTTCCTTTTTTAATGCGCTGATGACTTCCCTAGTGATCTCGGCTTGTTAATTTTAACGACAGCCAACTTTACTCGCTTCGACCAATAACCGATCATCACGCCCAGTTAGTTTGAGAGTACGAAGAGCTAAAATTAATTATAAAAGTTGTGTATTTTTTTAGATAATAAAACAAGAAGTAGGAAAAAGCTTTAAAAATGCCCATGAAAATACACGTGACGGGGTCCGCACCGACGGTTTCGGAAGAAGTGGAAGCACTCAGAATGATAGGAGGGGCTTTTTTTCTCGGAGAGCTCGTAATACTCGGTTGCATTATAGCAATGTACTTCGCTACAGTTTGTTTAGACGATGAACAGGAGCAAGAAGCGAAGGCGTTGCGAAAGCGCAGAAGAGCGTTGGCCGAATTTGAGGCTTTAGCTGCTGAATATAACCCGAGCGACTCGAGCTTAATGCTCACAACTGACTCTCTTGCAAGTGATCCATTTCACAGCCGGGAAACCGTGAATGATCTAAGACCACAAAGATTCGCGTTCTCTCTGGGCGATGTAAGGAGAGGAATCCAAAGACTACAGACATCAGAGAGGGGCAGCAGTTTGGGCACATTAAGCGAGGAGGTAACCGTCAGAGTATTAAATGATCCTTACTTTCCGGTTCGAGAGCACCCAGATCTCGAGGGCGCGGCAATGGGGTATGATGTTGTCTGACTGCGCGATTTTATATAAAAATTATTAATAATTTTTTAAATCTTTGTGATTTGACAAAAACTGATTAAGTAAAAATTAATTTTGACTCATACGTGTATATATGTAGTATGTGGATGTAAAACATTTGAGATTGCCTCAAGTATTTAATGAAATATTTTCAAATAATAAAGGCATAGAGAATAATTAAAATTTTATTGGGACAAGGCACAGCTTTGTAGAGCTCCCTTTGAGTTTTGCTGGTATGCTTTTGAGAACTGAAGCCCTCGCGCTCTAACCACGATGACGCTGAATATACTCAGTGGTCCTTCTTATGCAAATTTATTTGTTCAATAAAAAACTTTCGTTGGGTGGGAGGGTCGGTTGAAAAGGGATGTTGAATACCTAACCGCATGCCATTGCACTCAAACCTTTGAGTAGACTCAAAATGCTCCTAGGCTTAACCCAACCATCGGTTATCGAACGATTTGATCAATTTTATGAATATTCGCATTTTCTTGTATCTTTGCCTGGCCACTTCTGTTGAGCTGATCACTTACATATCCTGGACGATATGACGTCTCCATCGGTTCAAGGTTAAAGGTAGACCTGGCCTGTGCAAGTCAAAGGATTTTAGGGGTATTTTGCTTAGTGCAATTAATAGTTAGATGGTTCACCAATCTACACTGCTCCAAAGTAGCGTACGAAATGTTACATAGTCTCAAGAGTTCCTTAAGAGCCCATTGCTTTAAGCCACATTTGAAGCGGTGAAAGGTTTGAGGGCGTCGCTAAGAGACCATCTCATCGGTTGCGCCAGCGCATGCCAATTTGTTTGTGGTCAGGGTCCAAGTCATGTTCACTCTGCTCTCCCGTCATAGCTTACTGATTGCCTTCTTGCCTGTACTCACATATTAGTGACAATAGGTAGCTTTAAGGGTTATCCTATTGCCCATTTGTACCCGAGCACGAGTTTTGTAATAGTTTTCTCTATGCTGTCATGTCTTCCACTGTTAGGAGTCAAGACACTGTTGTCAAGCTTCATGCATATCTTTGTGTTAACTGGACTGATGTGGAGGATGAAGTCCGCAGCTTTGTTAGGGTAGTCCACATCAGAGGCTTCTAGTGTGGGTTTTACGTTCTGCAGTCATTCCAAAGTCCATTTAGCTAAGATTGACAGACCACAGACTTCGCACACATTCCTCGATGCCAATGAATGCCTCGAAGTTGAACTTCCGCTGATTTATAAAATAGATCCAACCATTGCATGCACTACAAAAGTATTTAGTAAAGCTTTCTTGGGATTTTCAAGTCTCTGATGGCTACTCTAGAAGTTTCGTCGTATTGTTTCCAACTGCAACCAACTTCACTCGCTTCAAAAATAAAACTCTTCGAAACCACCCCCGTACATTGTATCAATTTAAAATCCAAAAGCGATTAGCCGAAAGTTTTCCACCATTAAAATGCACAGCCCAGGGAAGAAAATTCCGATGACAATCAGTGAGGAGTGGAAAAAACTAAGACTGATACCACCCATTGTTATTATCTGTATACTTACAATAATCTTTGGTATTTTCTTGTATTACTTCCTTGTAAACACTTTTGAAGGGCGAAAGGAGCGAAGAGCAATACAGTTGCGTAGGCGTAGAAGAGAATTGGCTCTGGCTGAATTTGAGGCATTGGCCGCCGAATCCAACACAAGGAATAATACAGTGGTTTACAGAAAAGAACCTTTGAATGATCCATTTTTGGATCAGGGAGCAAGGGTAGATAACTTAAGACGACGTAGTGACGAGCTCCTAGAAAGAGAGAGGAAAAACAAGAGCGAAAAAGTACGACAAAAACGCAGCAGGAGTAGTCACACGGTAAGCTTCATACCTCTTGGAGAATCAGCAAACCCAAACCCTGTGATGTGTCAGCAGTAAGCCAAGAGAAGGTATAAGTGAATAAAAAGAGAGCGCCAATAGTAGGAATGGTCGGTTGCGAATCTGATTTGTTATGTATAATTTTTTTTTGTTTTTTAACTATTGTAATTTGCTAAAAAGCTGTCTAAATAAAAGTTGTTTTCAAAAAATTTAAGTGAATTTTATTTATTTTTTTTCATCTTGGTTTATTTATTTTATTTTTTGTTAATTTTATTTAATTTCATTATAATTTAACTTATTATATTTTATTTCATTTCATTATATTTTATTTGATATAATTTTTTTTTGGTTATTTTATTTTATTTCCTGATTATATTTATTATTATTTTATGTTAATTATTTATTTTTTTATTTTAAATTAATTAAAGTTATTTATTTTTTCTCTTATTTTTTCATTTTTATTTTGTTTTGTTTATTTAATTTTGTTATTTGTTTCGTTTCCCGTTTTTATATTAAATTTTATTAATTTTAATATGTTTTTTTCTTTTATTTCACTTTATTGTATTTCATATCATTTTTTGTGATTTCATTTTATTTTGATTTATACTAATTTTTTACTTTTTTAACTTAATTTATTTTGTTATATATTATATAAATTATTTTTAATTAGTTAATTTTACTTCATTTTATTTTATTTCATTTTAGTTTTTACTTCTTTTGAATTGAATTAAATTATTTAATTTAATTTTTTTATTTTTATTTAATTTTTATGTTTAATTTTTTTTATTCATTTATAAAAATTTTTATTTGTATATTTTTATTTTAGTTTCCAAGACTTACCCAAGACTAAGGGCCACTCCCCTTCAAAGTTTTTTATTGGAAAAACACACAAAAACAAATTTTTTTAATTTTTTTTTTCTTTTTCTCTAAAAATGTAAGTTATTTAAACATAAAGAATTTTAAAAGAGGCTTAAATTAAAATAATTAATTAGTGGATTTAAAATGCAACCTAAGTCTTTACAATGATTTATACTAAATAAGAGTCTCCGATTGCCTCTCGCACTCTGCGGAGTGTAAATGCAATGTTCTTTCTGGAATTCCCATTCCTGCCTCTACGCCGGACGTATCGCTCCTGCTATAGTTGCTATGACCACCAACGGACGATAACACACTCTGTGAACGGCGACTATGCGAGCTGCTCGTGCGATTTGCATGATATTGAGGACTTACGTGTAGACGATTCGAACGATACTGCCGAATTCGACGAGTTGGACGGCTTTGTCGGCCTGAAGTATCGCTATCCTCAGAGGCGTAAACATCGCGATATCCTCTTTCAACGTTCCAATCGAAAAGTGTGGGGTTTTGATAGCTAAGGAAAGCTAAGAGAAGGGCAAAAGCAAAAATTGCACTATAAATTGAACCGAAAAATAGTAGAATGTCTTTCATTTTTACGGCGAGAGTTTCTCTCGACGATTAATAGCGTTTTTTTTCTCGTTAATTACTCTCTGCGAAAAAAGTTTTCTTTTCTATTTATAAATTTTTTCTTGCATTTTATCTACTTGCGGCACTTATGTGGGGGCTCAGACGTCACAGTTGTTGGCTTCGTTTGTCGGTGGCCGCAGGCGAAATGGGTGGGCGAATTCGCTGGAGGTTTGTTCACCAACTTACATATGGGTTAATATTTTTAGTCTTTTTTTTAGTGCAAAAGTTTGTTGAACAATTTTATATATTTTTTTAATAGATTTTTATGCAACGGATAACGCTTTTTCATAGAGAGCGAGTGACGAGCTGAGAGTAAATGGTCGACCGATATCCGCAGATGAGTTGCCGATACTTTCAATTATTACCGAAGAGGCGATGATCTATAGGTAGACGCATGTCCCCTTCTAAGGACGAGGATAAATTTTGAGTCCCATTAAGAAGGATTCGCTACAGAGACCTTTACGCCAGTTTTGGGTATTTGTGTTGGGTATTCGTGATGTTTTCCCAGCAAATGAAGGGACCTACAATTTATAATAAGCCGCCTCCGAACGGTTGAGTGACGAGCTGAAAATAAATGATTTTAATGAGAAGTTTTTATTTCATGTCAGAAATATACTCTAAGGGGTTGACATTCCATGCCGAGGGGCGACCGCAATTAGAGAAGGTAACTTAATTTTTTATTTAAATTAATTTTCTACAACTTTCCGATGTTGGAAGCACGACGATAAGATTCCGAGCATTCCAAATGGCAGTACGCAATGCTAACCACTCGACTACCGCGGTCGCCATATAAAATAATATACTCCCATGAAATTTCATATAAAGTTTCGGATAAGAGGTCCCCATTTAACGGATCACAAGTTGAGGGCATGCACCTGGAATGTCCGGACCTTTGATTGCGGGGGACACTGTCCAGATGGTTAGTGCCTTCGTAAGACTAAAGGCTGCCATCACCGCAGTCCACAAAGTAAGCTGGACGGAATGAGAACAGTAGAAGGTTGGTACTTTTTTAATATATCCCTTATTTGGCCTCGACGGAAGAAAGAGTCCACGTATTCAAACCCGCCTATTCTACGAGTTTCCGCCGAAGCTGCCTGATAAATCTAGCTCTCTACAAGTTGCTCTAGGATTTCTAACCGGAATTGATAGTGTGGCTCCCCATTTTCCCCATATTAGCTGCTTAGGAATTTACTATTCTTCAGCGAAAAAGGTAAAATAGGTGGCAATATTGTTTAATAGGCACTCGCGAAATACATAGCACAGAAGAAGAAAAGCAAACCGTAGAACTTTAATAGAAATACCCAGAAAACGGGGTTTAAATATCGTGTTAAAGAACGGTTTTAAAATAATTCATCAAACAAAATTTTTACCCGAGAAAGGAAGACTTTCGAAAATGAATATAACTCACTGGATTTTAGTAGGGGTTATTATTTTGCCTATTGGGCTCGCATGCTGCTTTATTTGTTTAGTAGTTCGTCGGGCACTTGGCGATCAAAGTGCGGTTCATCCAGATTTAGTTGAAATGCGACAACTGCAGCAGCTTGGAGCGAATGGCCAGCCACCGGGCTTGATAGAAAATGGCGTGGGAATACGAGGGCGCCCCGCTGAGCCGCGACCTATTGCAGGTGTAGTGATGCCTGAAGTTGATGAACTAGATGAACTAGATGATCCAGTAGCAAATATTGGCGCAGCTGAGGTAAATGCCGCCGCCGCAGTTGCATGCGCTGGGCTTGCGTTAGGAAATCCGGCCGCTGAGAGGGCATTAAATGCTGCTGCGCCGATAGCAAATATTGGCGAACCGAGGGAAGAGAACGATGGCGGTGAACAAAGAGCGAGTATTGCAACGAGATTACTTGCGGCACTGGCAGCGATGCTTGGTTTATGTTTAGCAGGAATTTTCCCAGAGAGAGAAGTTGTTGAAGGGAACGCGAATGATGTTGAGCTGGTAGAAATTGCAAACAGACCACTGGGTGAGAATGCCAATGAACAGAGGGCACAGGACGCCAATAGAGGGATGGAGGAAAATTTGAATAGACCGCAGGAGTCACGAGCGCAAAATGCTGTCGAACCCCCAGCAGATAACTTAGCTGACCCAGGAGTGGAGAGCACAGATGAACCGAGAGCAGAGAATGCAGGTAGACAGATACGCGAAAATATTAGTGGACCTAGACCAGCTAGTAAAAATAGATCTCAAGAAGAAAATGTTGTTGAAGAACTATCAAGCAACACAGATGAGCCCCTTATTTTATTTTATTTTATAAGAAAATGTTGTTGAAGAACTATCAAGCAACACAGATGAGCCCCAAACAGAAAACACATATAGACCGAGAGCAGAGAACACGGATGGACCGCGAGCAGGGAATTCAGATGAGCTCCGTGTAGGGGACACAGATGGATTGGCAGCAGGGAATGCAGATAGGCAGATTCCCGAAAATATCAATAGCCCGGGGGCAGGGAATGCAGTTGAGCGGAGAACAGAAAGCGTTGAAGCGCATGGAAATTCTCTGGCAGTGGGTGCAGCGCCAGCAGAGAGCTCTCATCAGAGAGCGAATAACGAGTTGAGGGTAAGTCCTCGACCACGAGACAGAGACCAGTTGCCGATGTTTATACTTATTAATGAAGAGGCGAGGGGCCGTCCAACCCCGAATTTTCGGCTAAGTAGATTTAAGTCCGATTCCGAGGAAGAGAATACATTTTGAGCTCGAGTCGAGTTAGGATTTTTTTAATACTTAATTAATTATTTAATTAATATAATTGGACGTGGATTTAATAAAAAAATATGTTTATTAAATCTTAAGACTGCGTGTATATATGTATGTGTATATGTATATTTTTAATGTTTAAAAATTATAAAATGAAGGCTTCGGTAATTTATATTTATTTATAAAGTACAAAATGCTATACATGCAAGTTAATAATTTTAATTTAACGACAGTTCACTGATATGAGGATTAAAAAATTTTAGTATTTTAAGTTTGTCTTTTGCAATTTGTTTTTCTTGCAAATTGTGTAGAAAGTCACTTTTTTCTCGACTTGAGATTTGTAAAAAAACGCATGAATTATAATTATAATTTTAAGTAGGACAACATTTTTTGTTTATTTAATATTAATATATATTTAATGTATCTAATTTAACTAATGCCATGTAAAAATATCATAAATTTGGAAAATTAGTATTAAGTTGAAAATATAAATGGACTTTTTTTAATTATTTATTTATTTGTATTTCTTTACAACATTTTTCGCAATTTTCATATAAATATTACCGTTTTGACTTTCATGGTGAATGCTTTTATTTCGTCAGAATCGCGAATAGAAAAGGGATAAAAGTTTTCTGAAACAAAAACAATATTGCAATTTCTGAAATATTTACTGTTTATTTCATTATTTGTCAGCTATATTATTTTATTTAATTAATATTATTCTTTTCATTTAACTTTACCTTATTAAATTTTTTTTAATTTTAATTTTATTTCATTTTCTTAAATTTATTTTATTTTATTTTATTATTTTATTTTATTTCATCCTTTTTTTATAATATATCTTATTTTTTTTTTTTTGTTTGAGATTATTTTATTTTATTTCTCTTTTATTTTATTCTATTTTAATTATTTTAGTTTATTTAAATTAATTTTATTTTGTTTTGTTTTATTTCTCTTTTATTTTATTCTATTTTAATTATTTTATTTTATTTTATTTTATTTTAATTATTTTTAAATTTTTTAAATTTTATTTCATCGTTTTTCTATTTATTTTATGTTGTTTAATTTTATTTAATTTAATTGTCAATGGACCACGTGTACGCCTGAAATATAAATCGTATATTAGTATCAGGGTGCAACCAAAATATATATAGATGAGCTCTCTCTGAATGGCCTTAGACCATTTGTTCTACAATAGTTTCGCTCGAAGCTGCCTTGGCCAGCTGGCACCAACAACTGATTTTTCTCGAACGTGGGAACTTTTTACTCAGCCCTGTTGCTATGCCGAATCGTCTTGAGAGACTTAATTTGCCACATCTGAAATACATTTCAGTCTACCCAGGGACAGCGTAAAAGCTCAACACAATTTACAGTTATTAGCATAATAAGTGGCAACATTGGCGGAAACACAGGACACAAAAGACGAAAACTGAAACGTAGGATAATAGGATTAAAGAATTTAGAAAAGGCGGGTCAACGTTTGGAATTATAGAAATCCACCAAAAAAGTTCCCAAAATTAAGAGGAATACTTCTGTACTTCTGCACTTCCGAATATGCCAGTATTTGAATGGATTGTGATTGGTGTGTTTATTGCTATCATATGCTTATTGTATTATGTTTGTTATTGTCGAGGATCTGGCGATAATTTGGTTCACCCAGATTCAAATGGAGTTCCCCAATCGGAAGAATCGGGAGGAAGGGCGTTACCAGGAATAGCTGAAAATGATAAGCCACATGTACGGGGACCAATTATTTCCGCGGGTTTGATAAATGCCGCACTCGTACGTGGTGGGGCAGTGGTAAGAAATGCGGAGGATGTGGTGAGAATAGAGAATACCGATCAGCAGAGAGTGTGGTTCCAAGTGAGCCAGCACCGAGAACCGGATGTCAATAGAGGGATCGAAGAGGTTGCAGATGTACAGGGAGCAGAGAATATTAATACACAACTAGCTGAGACTTCAAACGAATCTCGAGCAGAGGTCGTAAAAAATGTGAATGGACAAAAAGCAGAGACATCAATTAATTGCTGGGTACGAAACGCAGAGAACACAGATAGATTTTATGAAGGAAAAGTTAATGAGCAAATATCAGGTGAGCCACGCAAAAAAAACTTGGACGAACCCCTACCAGGGAGCGCAGACATTTACTGTGCAGAGAACTCAGATGGGTCTAGCACAGCGAAAGCAGAAGGATTTCATGAGAGAACTTTTAATGTACAAATTTCAGTCATCACAGATTTGACACGAAAACAAAGTGTGGATGAATCGCTACCAAATCGAGCAGAGAGCACAGATAGTGCTAGAACCGGGAATACAGATGTCTCTCTTGAAGGAAATCTTGTTGAGCAAATATCAGGGAGCACCGACGAGCCACGAAAACAAACCTTGGACGAACCCTTGTCTAAGAGCGAAGGTGAATCCCCAGCAGAGAGTACAGATGGCGCTAGAACAAGAAGTACAGATGGCTCTCATGAGGAAAATCTTATTGGGCAAATATCAGTTAGCAGCGATGAGCCACGGAAACAAAGCGTGGATGAACCCCTGTCAAAGAGCGAAGGTGAATCCCGAGTAGAGAGCACAGATAGTGCTAGAACCGGGAATGCAGATGGCTCTCATGAAAGACAATTTTTTGAGCAAATATCATGGAGCAGCTATGAGACACGAAAACAAACCTTGGACGAACCCTTGTCAAAGAGCGAAAGTGAATCCCCAGCAGAGAGTACAGATGGCGCTAGAACAAGGAGTGTAGATGGCTCTCATGAGGAAAATCTTATTGAGCAAATATCAGTTAGCAGCGATGAGCCACGTAAACAAAGCGTGGATGAACCCCTGTCAAAGAGCGAAGGTGAACCCCGAGTAGAGAGCACAGATAGTGCTAGAACCGGGAATACAGATGGCTCTCATGAAAGACAATTTTTTGAGCAAATATCATGGAGCAGCTATGAGACACGAAAACAAACCTTGGACAAACCCTTGTCAAAGAGCGAAGGTGAATCCCCTCCAGAGAATACAGATAGCGCTAGAACAAGGAGTGAAGATGGCTCTCATGAGGAAAATCTTTTTGGGCAAATATCAGCGAGCACCGATGAGGGCGGAAAACAAAAAATGGATGAATCCGTACCTGAGAACTCAGATGGCTCAATTGCAGGAAATCCTGTTGAAGCGAAACCAGGAACCGTTGAACCCAAGGGAATGCTTCGGCCGCCGATGGAACGCCAGCAACACATATCTACAGAGAGCGAATGACGAGCCGAACAAAATTACTCAGCCGCTATGCGGAGATCACTTGCGAACGTTTTATTTTGTAATAGAGAAAATGGGAGCCGTCGAAAAGCCAAATGTCCGATTCTAAGAAAGAGTATAAATATTAATGTTTAATATGTGTATGTGTGTACGTATATGTGTATTTTTTTAACACTTTGAAAAAAATTAAATCTTAAGAATTCTCATACAATTTTCGACTCTATTATAATTCTAATTTTAGTATACGTTTTTAGTTTTCAATATTTTAATAAAAATTTGATAAAAATTAAATAAATATAATTTGGCTTGGAACATTTTTTGTGTAATTTTACTTTTAATTAAAAGATTATTTAATTTTGAATTATTACAAACGAAATTCTCGGAATAAGCTTAATTCAAACTTCCTAAAAAGCCAAATTTTAAAGTTTTCATAAATACTTAAGCCAATTTTGAATATATTTCAAATAAAATTTTTCTATCCCACCGTGTTTTTTTAGAATTATTTTTAATTTACATTTATTCTTTTTTATTCTCCGTTAAATTAGTATTACTAATATATTTATTTTTTACATTTACTAAAAAATGTTAATTTTTTATTTAACTTGATTCCACTTCATGTTTTTTATTTAATTTTATGTTCTCTTATATTATTTATTTTTTTTTTTGATTTATGATACTTGTTCTTTGTTAAGTTTAATTCAAATTTATTAATTTATTTTATTATTTTATTTGATTTCGTTCTATTTTATGTAATTTATTTTAGGTTATATTATTTTAATAATATTTAATTAAATAATTTAGTATCATTTTATTTCTTTTTATTTTATTTTATTTTATTTTATTTTGTTTTATTTTGTTTTATTTTATTTTATTTTTTTTATTTTATTTTATTTTATTCTATTTTATTTTATTTTATTTTATTTTATTTTATTTTATTTTATTTTATTTTATTTTATTTTATTTTATTTTATTTCGTTTATTCTTATTTTGTTCTCGTTTACTTTATATTATTTTATGTCTTTTAATACAACTTTATTTATTTTATTTGGTAGCATTTTATTTAATTTGATTTTATTTTGCTTTAAATTTTCTTGTATGGCAACTCTGGCAGAAGGAATGCAAGATTATCCGTTTTAACGCATTATCGCGCGAAAAAAAATTGGTTTGGCGAGAAGAGAGCAAAAAGAACTGACCAATAAAATAAATTGATTTTAACTTTGACTATAACGAAAAAATATATAAAATAAATGGATTTCGAGGCGGCGGAACAACTGTTTTTGATAATTTTTGGCTTTTTGGTTTTAATTCTGTTTTTCACGCTTATCTGTAGGACACGCTGTTCGTTAAGCAAACACAAGAAACCCGTAGTTTTCATGCACCACGAGCCGCGGTACGTCGAGAACACCGGCCAAGAGGAAATTGTCTACCGCAATGGCGTGGCCTATTATCACTACGAAGAATATGTCGATGAGGTGGAGCCCACGCATCATTACGTGCGCGTATCCAATCACCGAGATTTTGAGCGTGGACTCAGTCAAGAGCGTATATCTGATCGAGAAATGGATTACCGCCTGCCGATGACCGATTCGGAAATGGAGGACAGCCCGAGGCGTCATTGGGGTCGCCAGCAGAGGCTTTTCGCAAAGAGAGCGCAGCATGCCCAGCGTATATCGGAAACCCGGCTATGATTTTTTAAGAAATTCTGTTGTAAAAAATATTTTTTTTTTTTTTAACATTTAATTCAATGTTGTGAAATTTTAATGAAATTTTTTCATAAATTTATTTACTTCCGAATAGTACAACGACATACCTTTGTAATCTGTATTTCTGTATATGTTATTAAAAGGTGCATAATTTGACTTAAACATATATAAAAGAAGTAAAAAGACTGTTATAAAAATAATAATAATAAAAATAAAAAAGTACAAGGACAAAATCAAAAAAAATTTTGGCATTGAGGAATTATACTCGTAAAAGTTTAAATTCTTGCAACCTACGCCAACCTGAAGATGTATCGAGGAGACCTTGTGCAGCCCTGAGAAGTTAATAATGTAAGAAAGAATGGTGGTCTTATAGATTATAGTGGTTTGGTCAACGAAAGTCACAGCTCGAACTGGAAATCATCTTGGGCCCACATTGGATGAAGATGTCCTTCAAAAGTGGGTCATTTAAAAGATATGCATGACCATATAAAAATAAAGTAGACTGAAATCTATAGACACCTGTGTCTTAGATGCGAACGCTGAGCCCACTTATGGCAGTCCTTTCTTATTACCAAGATTCCGTACTGGTCGGTAGGTCCCAAGAAAACCTGAGACAGTTAACACAGGGATGATTCGGTGTCGGTCGGCAATAGAGTCAGAAAATAAAATAAAATAAAACCTGAGACAGTTAACACAGGGATGATTCGGTGTCGGTCGGCAATAGAGTCAGACCAATCTGGTAAATATGTACTCCTGGTAGGCTTTGCTGGTATGTACTCCTGAGAAAATGAGTGAAAAAGGACCTAGATTAGGAACTCGCTTCCGGCCGACGTCCATAAAAACAAAATAATAATAAACCAAAAATAATGTATAAAAAAGCGTCTGGCATCATTTTTGCCTCAAACAGCAAACAAAGAAACAAAGTGTAACATTAAAAGAGACCACAAGAAAATAACGGTTGCGCGAAAAAATCAGAGGAACTGTAAAACAGTCTGAGAAGAAGTGTTAGAAGTTAAGCGAAAAATTCACGCATACAAAAATATAACCATGATTCGGGACGACGTGATAGCTCGAGGCCCAAGAAACCTCATCATGTTACCTTTCATCATCAGCATTTTCACAATCATCACCGCTGTGGGCGTAACCACAATTTTCCTTAGGCATATATATAAATATTTCACCGACTATTGGCAGCGAAGGCGCAGAATGCTCACAATGCTACAACGCAGGCAGCACGCACAAATTCACTACTCGCCACCGCCAATAGAACCACCATGGCGCCGAAATGAAAATCAAGGTATTTATCCACATCCAAATTCCCCACAATTTGCACTACCTCCAAGGCCACCAATTTCTCCATTGGCGCGAGACCCACAATCGCAGCGCCAGCAACCAGAGTCACCAACCGCCCAGTCACGACAACTGAGTCCCACTCCACCAAGAGCCACACAACTACGCTTCCGTCCTCCGCAACAACCGGCTGAAGGTGGTGAGCGTCATGTTACCGTGCTAACCACACCGCAGTCAAATCAGTACCATACAGCTCATCAGACATCTCCATACACTCAATTTCAAAGTCACATACCCAAGCTCCAGCAACGCCAAATTTTTCGACCACACACGTCACCACGATCAAATCAACCGGAGCAACAATCACAGCAACCAGAGCAACAAGAGCAACCGAGCCAAGAAGAGGCGTCAAAACAATCACAGCAACCAAGCCGAATAGAACAGTTGCGCCAAGCAGGGCAATCGACCCAAGAAGAGCCGCCGAATCAAGTGAAACAAAAAAAACAGGAAAAACCGAAACAACACAGAAAAACGGAAGAACAGGAAGCTCCGAAACCAATGCGTATGCGAGTACGTCTGAAGACAAAAGGACGCAATTTAAAATAACTTACAGATCTATTTTTATTTCTTGACAATATTTATAAAAAAAATATGTTTTTGTATCCTTTCCGATAATTTTTACGTTTATAGATTTTATACCGAACTAAAAGATATTTCTGAATTCATAAATTCCCCACAGGCCAAAATATTCAAAAACTTAAAAAATATAATATGAAATAAAATATAAAATAATCCAATAACAAAAAAAAGAGTCTTAAAAAATGAGGTAAAATAAAATAAACTAAAATAAAACAAAATAAAATAAAATAAAATAAAATAAAATAAAATAAAATAAAATAAAATAAAATAAAATAAAATAAAATAAAATAAAATAAAATAAAATAAAATAAAATAAAATAAAATAAAATAAAATAAAATAAAATAAAATAAAATAAAATTAAAAAAAATAAAATAAAATAAAATAAAATTATTAAATGAAATAAAATAATTGAATATAAAACGTAGACATTCATAAAATAGATGTAAGAGTATTTTTTTTGTAATTTAATTTAAAATTAATAATAGTAGTAAAGCGTAAAGCTTTTGTCGCCTTAAAATCGCCTTTCATTTTAAATAAGAGATTGTTGGTTATCCAACGCTGATACTAGAAGCAAGTTGCATCAGCATAAACATTTATACAAATATAAGCAAATATGTATGTAAATAAATTTTTTACTCACTTGGAACTTTCATGTGAGCGACCTGTCTCAGGCATTCTAAAATTAATTGAATTTTCTATGGTGATGTTTGTATGTCTGTAAAGGAATGCTGTCCGTAACCATAAACAGCTTGGTGGACTGAAGAAGATTTCGGTTGGTGCCTGTTCAAGTGTTAAGCACATTAAGTTGCGTTAGAAAACCGTTGTCTGCTTGAACATTTCAAATGCTGCAACTCGTTTTGCCTCTTGTACCTCCAAGACAGTGTGGCAAATTGGTGGTGGTTTAACTCTCAAAACTTATACTTTTTTATTGCGAGAGAAGCAGATCTCTCAACTGAGGTGTCCATCTGTGTCATCTCTGTGAAATTGATATGAAGCGAGTGTGGTTTTATATGCTTGAGAGAGTATCCAAAAGACCCCAAAGCTGATTAGTGCGTCAATCTGTATCTTCTTCTTTTCTCACTCTCTCAAATTATTCCACTCACTTTGTTTTTCTGCATGCTAAATCTCTGTCAAGAGCTGAGCATTGGATAGTTCCCTTTATGAGTAGCCGCTTTGTGTACTTCACTTCTCAGGATCTTCTCTCTGGAATCGTAAAGGATCTAACCAACTCAACACACTCATCTCGACCCTAATTATTGATATTTCGAGTAGATTTTTGCACTCTGAATCCGCCAGGTGGCGCCCTTGTCGGAAAGAAAAGTTAACAAACTCTCTTTAACGGTACCTTTAAATTTAGCTCTCTCTCTTTTGCTTAATTATCATTTCCTTTTCTCTCTCTCTCTTTTTCTCCCTCTTGACTTCCATCACCCTGCCGACACGGCCAGAAGAAAATTAATCAGCAAATGGATTTCGGCGCTGCAGTTACTTTTGCAGCAGCAGTGGATATTTCGCGACTGAGCAGCAAAATTTTCATTATGTAAAAGCGACGGCTGCAATTACAGTTATTATTGCGTTGCTGCTGAGGTGGCAGTCAGCGCAGACAAGTGCAATAACGGTTGTTAGTAGGTGAAAATAATTTCAAAACGATTCGAATTGAAAAGAAATAAATAAAAAATTTTAAAAAACAAATATTAAGAAAATATTAAGAAAATATTTATTTTTTAAAACTAAAAAGTTAAAACTAATAAAAATGTGAAAACTTAACAGATAAACACGAAAAGCGAAAGATTTTTTGTTAATTTTTTTTTTTTAATATTTTGTATTAAAATTTTTTTATTATTTTTTTTATAATTTCAATTTATTTATCAAGGAAATTTTCACTTAAAGTTCGGCTGAAATATTTAGTTTCAAATAATTCTCACTCTTTTTTTAATTACTTTAAAGCTCATTTAATTTTTAACCCCCCACCCATGCTCTGCTGCGCCCTTTCGGTCGCACAAAGTCTTTCAACTTGTTTTCTGTCTTTCAAAATGCATTTGCTATTTTTATGAGTCGGTAAACCACTTACTTATGCCGCGTACGTGCGTTGAACGAGACATTCGATGCTTAACCCCCCTTCAACGGCGCAAGTGAGACGTATCATCCATCCATCAGCTCATTGTTGCTGCTGGTGTGTGCTGGCTTGGCTTCGTAGTGGCGATAGGTCGACCAGCAAACGCTTCTGTGGGATAAGTGTGCTCCCACTCGCCGACAACAGCGTCGTCAACGCGCGCACGTACGCATTAACAATGACTTAACGGGCATTTAAATATGGACAAAAAATGTGGAGGACAAAAAAATTAAACAGAAAATTTTCTTAAAGCTTTGTTAAACAGTAAAAATATCTGAGACAAATGAGGCTTTAATGAATTGATAATGAAAACAAAACAGTTTGTGAGTCGGTTGAGAAGCTACGGGATGGAGTTGAGTGGTATGGTACATATATGTCCTATCCTTTGGGTTTCTCAGGTATGTTTTACAGGTTTCTTGAAGGCGATAGGAGGTTGTAGATCTTCTTTTAGGTCAAGGGAAGCCAACAGAAGGTTGGAAAGTTTAAATCTATAACCTAATATAGATCAAAATAACCTAATACAGATCAAACAAGATCTGTAGTGAGGGTCGCGCCCGGAAGACCTTAGCATTGAGGTCTTTCAATGAGCTTCCAGTGGTGAGAGAGCTTCTGTTATTTGAATGGGATTTAAGGCGCTTGCCAAGGGAGGTTAATAGTTTCTGCTCTTGTAATGAATACTTTTGGCCTACAATGAATATTGTTTGGACTCCAGATACGTAGTTAATATTTTAATGGACTCTCTTTATACTGAATCAGTCAGTTTCTTACACCGGACTACTTCGGAGCAGGCGCATTTGCGCCGTATAGAGAACGTAGCTACTGAGAACGAAAAACAAAGTACACATCCTCCGACCAAGAGCTAAGTCATGAGACTCTCAGCCTCCGCAGAAGCTCTATGGAGTGAAATTTTTATAAGTTCCCCATAGACAAATGATGGTATCAGAGAAGAAACTCAATTTTAGATGCGCTACATGGAAGATAGGCTTCGGTTTTCTAAGTGCCAGAGAGATTTCAGTGGCGTTACCAATGCTAGAAAGCATAATTTTGGAAAACGACGGAGATCGGCAGACTGGCACTGTCCAAAACATGGCTATAAATTCACATTGAGAGAGCGAGAAGTCGACTGGTTTTGAACCTGATTCCGTACTCAGCAACAGAAAAGGTATACAGCCTGCAAAGTTGTCAGTGAACGCACGCGTCATAAAGGTTTTTTTTTTTTAAATTTAAATTTAATACATGAAGAGTTTAAAAAAATATATAAATAATTTAAAATTAATTCGATTTTTTATTTTTTTGTTGGCTTTCTTATTTAAATTTAAAAGTTTAAAAATTTTGAAATTTTATTTTTAATTAGTTTAAATTTATTATAATTATTTTCAAGCAAACAAAATATTTTTGTCGCATTTTTTTAATAACTTAAAGTTTTTCAGCTTCCCCTATGTTATTAAAAAAAATTATTTGAAGTGAAATTTAATTTATTTTCACTTGTTTTAAGCTTTAGCTTTTTTTTTAGTACTATATCTATATATTTTTTAAAAACCTCTGCTTTAATTTCTAAAAAAGTACACTATTACCTTATTTTTATAATTAAAAAAAAAATGTTTTTAATTTTTTATAAATACAAAACACAGCATTTCGCTAAAAATCTTCTTTATTAAACGTTTTTACAATCTTTCAAATTGCCTTTCATGGGCACCCCTCATAATCTTATCATATAACATCACAGTTATGTAACAAGTAATACAAATAAATACGACTAAGGCAGCAATAATAAAATTTTCATATGGCAGTGGTGGAGGTAGAGGTTCTTCCGGAGGAGTGTTCATTTTGGATACTGGTTTTTGAGTTTATTTAATTTTGTTAACTAATTGAAATTTAATTTCTTATTTTTTACCGCTCCGCTTGATTTGATGATATTTTTCTGATAAACAACGTTTGTAGGTAAGCGCCGTTATTGCTAAAATGATGTTGCCACTTTTTTAACTTAATTTATATTTTATTTTATCTTTTTTCTAATTTATAAAATACAGCATTTTTTGTTTGAAAATCTTCAGAGCCTAAAAAAATATTATACAGCAAATAAATAAATATATTAAATAGTGTTAAAAATATATTTTTTTTTAATTCCATAAAATTCCTTAGCACACATTTAAACAATTTAGCAAAATTAATAATAATTAAAACTTTGCTCTAACATCTGGCATCCCCCAATTAATAGCGCGCCATGTTGTATTGGCGGGCTACCAGTGCCTCTTGAGTAGCTCATACACTTGCTTAATGAAAAAAACCGCAAAACAAATCAGAACTATCAAAGCACATTTGACACAATTCTCAGTATACATTTTAATTTATCAATTTCGTTTTTTCTCTTTTACTTTTAAAATCAAAAATTGTTCTTTGTTTATTATAACAGTTATGTAAAAAAAAAGATTTCGTTGTGTCAATGCCTTATACCGCTTGATGCCATAACGGCGCTCAACTGTGAATTACCCACTAAATATTAGTTTAAGATAATGCCAGATTTGAAATTTTTTTAAGATTTATTGCTAATTTCCTTCGAAAAATAGTTTTGAACTATTTTTGGTTTTTTTGTTATATTTAAATTCCCTTAACTTTGTCGCGTTTATTTTTTATCATCTTTTTCCGTTTTTATTTTTTTGTTTAATTTCAATAAATTTGAAATTTATTTTATTATATTTAAGCTTTTTATTTTATTTTAAGGAACTAATTTTTTATTTATTTATTTATATTTCACTTATTTTACATTTAAATTTTAAATACTATTTTATTTTCTTTTCAATTTTTTCTTACATTTTTATCTCAATTTATTGTATATTATTTTAATTTATTTAATTT